CGAAGCCCAGAGCGACGGCAACGCACCCAGACACGCACCCCGCGTCCCCGCCTCGCCTCGCCCTCACCTGCACGGCCGCGGCCCACCTGGCCGGGATGCGGAGCCGCGCGAGCCGCGCGTTGCTTCCCGCCGTCTCCATGGCAACCGCTCGGGGCGCGGGCCGGGCCCTGGCCGAGGGGGACAGCCGGGAGCGTGTGTGCGCGCGCGCGCCCTTCCCGCCCGCGCCCGCGCCCGGGCCGCCTCCCCTCCCCCTCCCCCGTCGCTGAAAGTCGGGGTTCTGATTGGCTACCCTGAAAACCGAGGAAGCCCTCGGATTGGCTGAGCGGCCTCCCTCCGCCTCCGAAGGGCGGGGGAGCTTTAAAAGCCGACTGGCCTCGAAAGCTGAGGAGAAAAGCGCGTGGTTTGCCGTTGGGTCTGTTACTCCTCGGAAGAGGGCGAGGCTTGAGGGGTGTGGGAGAGTAAAAAACTCGCCCCAACAGCGTCACCTTAGCCCCTGCCCTCTTAGTCTTAGGCAGTAAGGTTGCCTTTGCGCTCTGAGGTAATTCTAGCTGAGGCTCTTATTCTTACACGTTGTAGGATATAGCGGAGGTTGGTCCTCAGGTAATGCTAGCCATGGCCTATTGTTTCCAGGGAGTAAGGTCTGAGGTAATTTTAGCCACGGCCTATATTCTTTGGAGTAAAATACCAGTGGGGGCTGAGGTAATGTCTTAGCTGTGTCTTATTTAAAAGTCTCAGCTACCATAGGTGAGTAAAGATGTAACCTCAATCCTAGTAGTTGGCCTTCTCTGAGAATAAGGTAAACTCCTGAGGTAATTTTAGCCAAGGGCCATATAGGAGTAAAGTACCTTTGGGCCTGAGGTAGTCTTAGCCATGTCCTATTAAAAGGTCCAAACCACCAGAGGTAGCCAAAAGTCAAAGATAAAATTATCTTTAAAGTTAAAGGTAAACTTGCCTCAGGCCCAGGAGCTGACTTTCCTCTTTGGGAATAAGGTAAACTCCTGGGGCCTGAGGTAATATTAGCCAAGGCTTGCTTGCTTAGGAGTAAAATGTCTGTGGGGCCTCAGGTAATGGGAGCCATGTCCTGTTAAAAGGATTAGACCACTGCAGCTAACTAAAAGTTAAAGATAAAATTAGTTTTAAAGTTAAATTGCCTCAGGTCTGGGAGCTAACTTCTCTGGGAACAAGGTCAACTCCTGGGGCCTGAGGAAATTTTAGCTAAGGCTTACATTCTTGGGAGGAGTAAAATATCTGTGGGGTATAAAGTAATGTCTTAGCCATGTCCTGTTTAAAGCCAAGCTACCTCAAGTAACTAAAGGTAAAAGTAACTAAAATTACTTCAGTCCCTGGAGTTGACCTTACTTTCTTGAAATAAGGTAAACTCCTGGGGCCTGAGGCAATTTTAGGCATGACCTCTTGTTCCTAGAGAGTAAGATAAACTCCTGGGGCTAGAGGCCATATTTTTAGGAAAAGTAAAAATTTGTGAGGCCTGAGGTAATCTTATCCACATCCTTGTTCAAGGACTCAATTACCACAGGTAACTAAAGATAAAGTTACCTCAGTCCCAGGAGTTGACCTTCCTCTTTGGGAATAAGATAAACTGGGGCCTGAGATAATTTTAGCCAAGGGCCATATTAGGAGGAAAAATCTGTGGAGCCTGATCTTAGCCACATTCTACTTAAAGGATTAAACTAAGCAGGTAACTAAAGGCAAAAGTTAAAGGAGTTAACCTTGCTCTCAGGAATAAGATAAATGCCAGGGACCTTGTTCTTAGGAGGAATAAAAATCTGTGGGGCTTGAAGCAATCTATTTAAAGGACTAAACTACCACAGGTAACTAAAGTTGAAAAGTAAAATTAGCTTTAAAGTTAAGACTTCTTAGTCCCAGGAGCCAACCTTACTCTCTGAGAATAAACTCCTCGGGCCTGATAAAATTTTAGCCAAGGGTCTTGCACTTTGAAGTAATAACATACAGGTGAAACTCGAAAAATTAGAATATCGTGCAAATGT